GGTTGGTATGGGTGGACTGAAGTACCTCCAATGTTCAGGTGGTTCGCGTTGTGTTCGAAAGTATTAGGAGTGAGGTGGAGGATGTGTTTAAAAACCATTAAGTGAAGATGTAAAGTACGATTGTTGTAAGGGTAGAGGTTGGAAGTGTAGCAAATAATTTGATGAACGTGATTCTAATATCGACTTCCACTTTATACTTTGAAATTAAATAGACAGCGTTACTAATTGGTATTTGGTTAATTTGGGCTTAGTGCGCAATTCGGACTTAAGCATCACCATTTAGTTCTTCCGTGCAGAACTTTCGCAATTTGAAAAGCATTTCACTGACAAGTCACTTTTCCTTTTGGTCGCGAGAGCAATGTGGCAAAGGTTATAAGTGCGATGTGACTGTTAGAGACGGGTTTTCCCCAACACTTTAGGTGCCATGCTGCGTAGTTGTCGTCGCGATCGTCAACGCAGAGATTTTGGGCGTCTGTCAATGCGACTGCAGAAGGCGAATGAGGTGGCAACTTCTTCTCACCTCTCCTCTCCATCGTGATGCGGATGGTGTATTTTCGCAGATTGAGGCATAGCGCAGGTGACTAGCCCAACTCTCAACGCAAAGTGGAGTTAAGGTGATGGTAGTGGGTGAGGGGATGGGTGGCGTTGGCCTCTTTTGCGTCGTTGCATCTAACTGTCCGAATGTGAGTGCTACGCGTATTGCAATGCGAAGCGAATGAGCGAATGAGGTCTGTCGATAGGATGCAGCTTTCGGCAGCTAAGGCCGTGAGTGCGATGAGATTGGGAAAGGTGAGGTGAAGGTGTGTGAGTTAACACCGCCTTTACTGTGACTTGCCGTGGCGTGACGTGCCTTGGCAGAGGTTTGGGCAGACATTGTAGGTGTATTTTACTCACTTGCTAACGCAACACTAAAATGGTATCGGTCAATGATGGATGTGGTGATAGGTGATTCGCCTCTACTGAGTCAAAATAACACTTAGCAGCGGATGAAATGACTCAGAGAGCAGCGCAGCCCTTATGTATATCAGCCACTGCTTATCTTCCTTCCCTTATAGATGCCAGTCGACTTCAGAGGCAAAAAACTTCGTTCGATTTTTGCAGAAAAATGGCCATTTTATCGTTACAATATGGTACATGGTACTTGCGCAGCCAAAAGAATGAGAAGCGTCCA